GCCGGTTTATTCAGGTATATAAACACCAATGGCTTTAAATATCCTCAATCAGAAGGAGCTCAATAGATTTATAACCAGGTCACATCTATCTACAAACCGGATTCCAAAAAAGTTGGGACACTAAACAAATTGTGAATAAAAACTGAATGCAATGATGTGGAGGTGTCAAAAACAAATATTTTATTCAGAATAGAACACACATCGCAGATCAAAAGTTTAAACTGAGAGAGTGTATCATTTTAAGGGAAGAATATGTTATTTCCAAATTTCATGGCGTCAACAAATTCCAAAAAAGTTGGGACAAGGCCATTTTTACCACTGTGTGGCATCCCCCCTTCTTCTGACAACACGTCTGGGGACAGAGGAGACCAGTTTCTCCAGTTTAGAAATAGGAATGCTCTCCCATCCATGTCTAATACAGGATCTAACTGTTCAGTCGTCTTGAGCCTTCTTTGTTGCACCTTCCTCTTTATGATGCGCCAAATGTTCTCTATAGGTGAAAGATCTGGACTGCAGGCTGGCCATTTCAGTACCCGGATCCTTCTCCTACGTAGCCATGATGTTGTGATTGCTGCAGAATGTGGTCTGGCATTATCTTTTTGAAAAATGCATGGTCTTCCCTGAAACAGATGACGTCTAGATGGAAGCATATGTTGTTCTAGAACCTGAACACAGGTCTCTGCATTTATGGTGCCTTTCCAGACATGCAAGCTGCCCATGCCACAAGCACTCATGCAACCCCATACCATCAGTGATGCAGGTTTCTGAACGGAGCGTTGATAACAGTTTGGGTTATCCTTGTCCTCTCTGGTCCGGATGACACGGCGTCCCAGTGTTCCATAAAGAACTTCAAATCGTGACTCATCTGACCACAGAACAGTCTTCCATTTTGCCTCACTCTATTTTAAATGATCCCTGGCCCAGTGCAAACGGCTGAGCTTGTGGAGCTTGCTTAGAAATGGCTTCTTCTTTGCACTGCAGAGTTTCAGCTGGCAGCGGCGGAAGGCACGGCGGATTGTGTTCACTGACAATGCTTTCTGGAAGTATTCCTGAGCCCATTCTGTTATTTCCCTGACAGTAGCGTTCCTGTTTGAGGTTCAGTGACGTTTAAGGGCCCGGAGATCACGAGCATCCAGTAACGTTTTACGGCCTTGACCCTTACGCACAGCGATTGTTCCAGACTCTCTGAATCTTTAGATGATGTTATGCATGGTTGATGATGATAACTTCAAAGTCTTTTCTATTTTACGCTGGGCAACACCATTCTGGTATTGCTGCACTATCTTTCTGCGCAACAGTGGTGGAATAGGTGATCCTCTTACCATCTTGGCTTCAGAGAGACACTGCCACTTTGAGAGGCTCTTTTTATACCCAATCCTGTTGTCAATAGACCTAATTAGTGTTAGTTGGTCTTCCAGCTGTTCGTTATTTGCTCAATATCCTTTTCCCAGCCACTTATTGCTACTTGTCCCAACTTTTTTGGGATCTGTAGACACTGTGAAATTTTGAATCAACATATTTTTCCTTTAAAATGTTACGTTTACTCAGATTAAACTTTTGAGCTGTCATCTATGTTCTATTACGAATAAAATAGAAACATTTGCCATCTTCACATCATTGCATTCAGTTTTTATTCACAATTTGTTTAGTGTCCCAACTTTTTTGGAATCCGGTTTGTATGTAACCAAGTAGAGTAATCAAAAGAGCAAAATTGTGATAGTTTCTTGTGCAATAATCAATACTTTCCTGCTTTAATAAAAACTGTGTTTCCTTACTAGAGTTATTGCTACACAACTCTCCACAAAAAGGAGAAACTAACTGCAGAGTTTGCACCGATAATGGTCCTTTAATTTGGAATGTAATGATTTTCCATTCATTTAACAATGCAGACTTTTCTGTGACACTCCAAATCAGTCTTATCTTACTCATATTTTTATCAGTGCTCCTGATGCTTGTTTAATTTGATTTGTAGTCCACAGATGCAATAAACGAACATGACATTTAAAGATTGCTGCGCTTGTAAAAGCAGCCGCAGCAGCTGGTTTGATCTCATTAAAGAAAGAGAAGTTGTCTCCGGTGTATTCCTGGCTTTGCTCCGAGCAGAGGAAGGGGTCTGAGGACCTTCCCTGCCGGCCTGGCCGACCTTGCGGCATCGCAGTAATGCATCTGACGCGGGATCAGAGGGGCAACGTGTTCAGATCAAACCAGGGCAGTTCTTTCTTAGACTCCATGTTGACTTTTGTACTTAACAGGAGATCGGCAATTTGACCTAGAAAATCCTACTCGGCACCTTGACTGTAAAAAGAATACATTACAAAAAAAGTGGATTCTGATTAACGTGAAGTTAAGGTTATTAAAAGAGGGCTCTCTAAATATGACTATTTTATCTGGTATTCAGGGAACACATTAACTCCCGCTGGATTTGTTTTTTTAATTCTGTCAGGTTACAAACATAAACCTAATCTTTTTTTGGTATTTTATACATCACAGTATTTAGAGTGAAAGTGGAAAAAAAATGTTAATTGGTTTGAGATTTTTTTGAAATAAAACTTTGCAAAGTGTGTTTAAAGAGCTGTCTCTATACAAGTATACAGTAGCTGTAGCAGAGTTACGGATCAAATTTTTCATTCTACTGAAAAAATAGCCCCAAGGACTCATAACCTGGTATTTCACGAATACAATTCCTCAGAAATTGTTGTTAAATTCATCTTTAATATTTTTTTGCAGAAAATATTAAATAGAACTCATTCAGAACCGTTTCCATACATCTTTTTTATTGCAAGGGTAAGCATGAGAATTTGACCTGTGTGTATTCTTGTTCATGGGGAGGTAGCATTAGCAACATTAGCAATTATCCATTGTTTGTTTAGCATCGTTTTCTAGTCTCTCACACAATAGGTAGAAGGTAACAAAAGCACTGACATTTACAGACTGTCTAGTTTTATTGTTTCATTTCCCATTTTGTGATGTTTTCTGGATGTATGTGAGTTTTTACATATTTCTTGTTTGCCCCCTGTTGCCCTCCTGTGTCAGTCCCCTTCTTCTGGCTCCCTTCTAGCTTGCTCTGTCCACACCTGCTCCCAATCCGCTGATTAGCCTGGTCTTTGTTTCTTCCTCCCATATATACACCTCCTGTTCAGTCAATGTTGGCTGGTTGTTCTTTATCATTTCTTCGCCCTTCATGTCAGTTTTCTCTGGACTTCAATATTTTGTTTGTAGACTTTGTCTTCTGTTGCCCCTTTTTGTTAATAAATCTGCTAGAAACCAACTCAGCTTCCATTTCAGCATTTGTGTCCTCTTCAAACCTCCACCCAACCTGACAAGTTGGTGATTGTTGGAATTACCCCTTTTGGTTGAATAGAGGTGCGTGGTGATAGCAAGGCAAGCTGATGTTAGCAACCTTCCACAATGACGAACAAGAAGGACCAAAACTGGGCTTTGTGGAGAGGGTGATCTTGTGGCCACATATAAAAAAGACACACTTTCACAAGCCAAACACACATGTTTAAAAAAATAAATAAATAAAAATCTGATTTCCAGGTTATAGTGTATTTTTGAACACATTCTGATTGGATGGCCTCATTGGAGAATGGCAGTCCTTTTGGCAGATCAGTGCCAAGACAATTATCTTCCCTGAACAGGAAACAACGAACCCACAGCATCCGTCTGTCACCACCATGTTTCACAGTGGGAATAGGGTGCTTACAGTAATGAGCAATAGTATCCCTAATCATAGCTGTTTGCATGTAAAATTTGTTCTCACCCACCCAGAGCTCCTTCCTTCACATGTTCCTTCACAATAATAATAACGATAAAAAAGAAGAAATAATGATATTTAAGAATTAGTTTTGGTCTGTCACAAAAAATCCCAACAAGGTAAACTAAAACTAAAGGTCTCATTAAAACCTGCCACATTTGATCCACTATAAATGGACCAGAGTTTGTTTCTGCCCATAGCCCCTACCTTTTGTGCAAGAAGCAACAATCAGTCATGTGTGAATAAATACCCGTGACCTTTGGTCCAGACAAAACAACTTGTCAGTGACCCACTTGTGTGGTTGGCTTTAGGCTTGTATACAAACCGGGTTCAGTTGGATCCGGGAGCAAAAAGTATATGTCACATTGGACCTAACAAGCCACCGTAGTAGTAAATGCAGTATTGAAACCAAACCTGTTATGTTGTCGGTTGCTGGGTGGATTATCCTTGACTTGAAGGGCGCATTCTCTAACATGTTACCAAATACAAACAAAAAGTTTTGATTTCTGAATGACCTGCTCCAGACTCCCAATGGCTCTACCGCTTTAGTAGCTCAAACCAGGCTGGAAAAGGAAATAAGTGACTCAGAAATCCTCCATGTTTGTGCGTTACAGGCGGCATACAGAAACAGTATTTTAGACAGTATCATGACATTTTTAACTTATTTTTTTATCGCTTCAATTTTTTTTTTCTAAGGTGTTGGAGTAAGTACAAAGTGCAGCGTAAGTAAACAGGCTGCTTTTCTCTGAAACAAACTGGTGTTTTTAAGCTATATAAACTTTTTTGAAACCTTTCAAAATGTCCTTATCACTAATAAGGTCCCCAGTTTAAATAATACAGAATTTTAATCCACTTACATAAAGTACAGTTGGGATACAAAACAGCTCTATAAAATAATGTCTCCTTTTGGTCTGTACCAAACTAGCAGACCAAAGGACTGTTATGGTGTGAATATAACCTAAGAGTTGTAGTTTGAAAGACATAATAAGGTTAAAGAGGTAGGATACATTTGCAGGATCCTGTTAGACATTTTTCACCCTTCTGACAGAATTTAACTTAGACCACCCCAACCTCACAGGCTACACATGTAGACAGATAAAGGCAGGTAACAGATGCCCACAGAGAGAATTTCACATTTGTGTGGTCTGGAACAGATTCAAGGAAAGCTGCATTTAAAGGACAGACAAAATAAAGACCAATAATCTTCACAACTGACAGGACAGACATGCTGCAGTGATCTGACCTGTTGTTCAGTCTCTTCTTCGTCACTGCTGATCTTCAGGTCATCCTCCAGCATCCTGCACAGACAAACACACAAGGGCAAACGTGTTACTGCAGCCATGGCCTTCTGTCTGCCTGCGTCACCTCAGATGTGGGGACATGTTAGCTGCTGTTCCCTCTAAAGAGCCTTTTTAGCTATCAGATGGGTTAGACAGTGAAATAGAGGGGATTCCTGTTGGGGTAGACGGTAGGAAAGTGACTTATCTGCTACAAAACCCAAGCAGATGTTGAGCTTACAGAGCAAAGCAGGACAAAGAAGATTACCTTTTGACCTGGAAACTACCTGACCTTCAGCCAAGCACTGCTTTGGACCCAGAAAGACATGATTTGCACAGATCAGTCGCTTACACTAATGTTTGATGGGTTGTCTAATTTGAAAGGCTGCCCTGTTTACTTTCAATTGTTCCTGAGTTTTACTCATAGTTTTAATCTCTCAGGGTAGGAAAAAGATATACACACGCTGTACATTAAGACAAGCTTTCCATCAGCATCATCCTCTCTTTAGCAGATAAACTATTCAGTATTTATGAGCACAGGCAGGTTTCTGCAGTTTTATTGCTTTATATAACCCCCCCAAAAGCACACACAGACACCAGCACCAGCTTTTATTTTGAGCAGGAACTGCTATTGTTATGACAAGAGAATCCCCTAAAGGGATTTTTACTGCCTGACGAACCAATCTTTTCAGTTTCCTGCGCCGTTAAAAAACACTCCCCCTGGTGCTGAGTGTCTTTTTAGACCAACAAGTTTTGAAGAACGGAACCGAAATAAGGGGAAATAGTCGGTTTGAGCGTGTTTGAATGGATGAATAATGGATCCATAGTTTATTTCATAAGGAGGGACAAATGAGGGGAGGGCGACAGTGAGCGAGATGGAGATGATAGTGATCGGGAAGTGAGCAGCAGGTGGGCTGGTAGCGAGGACATGAATAAACTGAAGAAGAGAGAAGAGCGCTGGTGGGGACACACATGGTCAGATTTAAAACTGTTAAGGAGCAAAGCAAAGACTTCCATCTCTGCAAGGTTTGACATAGAAAAACAGCCAAAATAAAATCAAAACTCTTTGGAATTTAGAAAGTCTCCCTCAGAGAATGCAAATGTTTTTCTAAAATCCCATTAAAACGGTGCTCAGGAATCAAATTATTCCTCAGCAGAAACTTTTAAAAGCAGATTTTGACTTGAACTGACTACTTTCAAGGACGGACTGGAAGTTGAACAAGAAGCTAACGGCTCTAATTTAGCTGGTTGCTGTTGCAGACATGGAAGCCTCTGGTTGCTTTTCAGCTGCTCATTTAGTTTGTTGGTGCTTAAGAGGCACAGAGCAACACCCTGAAATATCCTTTTTAAATTCCTCTGAATGACTCCTGAGAAAATGACTAAAATAAATCTAAATAAGAAAAACTAAGAATACCTAGCTAGATGGATAGACCTATCTAACTAAACAAAACAAACAGATCTAGATAGATAGATAGATAGATAGATAACTGCCTAAACAAACTACAGAGATGTTTTTACTGAGTATTTATAAAAGAAAGTAGATAACATTGTAACTGTGACAGATCTACCATGAACTAGATGACTCTGCCTTCCTAAAAGCTGCAGGGCTTCTGAAAGTGGACCAAACCCCTGTGGAGACATACCCCATTAGTAGCTAACATCTTGTTTGCACCTGATCAGCCACCTGTCTCTTGGTGGTAAACACTTAACATCAATCTCATCACCTGGAACAGCAGAAAGAATTGAACATGTAACCCTAGCAATGCTAGTCCCTTGCTCCATCCACTGCCCAGCTTTACTTCAGCAAACTGTGGCACAGTTAAACCCCAGCGTGGTACTGCAGCTATAAGACTATACACAGAGTGATTCCTGCTTTCTGAAGCGGCAGCATTAAAGAGCTGACTCACTCCTGGAGAGGTTTCACTCACTTCTGCTGCTCTGCTACACATATGCAGCAGTCTGAACATAATGTGATGGGATCATGGCTAAATGAAAGCCCTGAAGCAGCGAGGAACGCTCTTAACCAATCGTTCTAATGAATAGAAATAATTAATTAGCAGAGGTTTGTCTGTGTTCCTCCTGATGTGGCACAGAAAGCAAAGAGTTTTTTGTACACAGACTATAGAGTAAGGACTGCTATAATAACCCCAAATTACACATGATGTGTTCAGTTAAAGGAGCATACATTTGTTGACTTTTAAATTTATGAGCTAGTAGTATTTCACTGCTGCTTGCATACAATTTTCTTTCTGAAAGTTTAACAAGTGCAGGTATAATATTTGTTAATTGTGTGTCTTAATGTGGCTTTGTTTTTATCCTTTTGTTAGTGTTAGGAATCCAGTCTTTGTGGGTTGTGTTTTTGTGTGTTTTCCCTCCACCACCAGATGGCTCCTGGCTCTCGTTGGTCCTCTAACACACCTGCGGAGGGTTGCCTCATTACCGGAGGACTCTTAGGCCCCGTCCACACGAAGTCAAAACGAACACGAAACGCTAATATTTTCCAGAACGTCTGTCGTAAAGACGGAGACATAAAATAAATGTGATCGTCCACACGAATGCATGAAAACGCTGCAAAATGTATGCCAGGCCTGTAAGTGGCGCTGTGGTGCCAAAGCAAAAATAGGCGATGAAATGTTGGGCATGCGCACTAATATTTATACATGGTTGCCCTGCGGGTCCATTTTCGTGGTTCAGTCAAATTCAGGTGCTGAACTATGTCGTCGATATTGCTCTGTTCTTCCTGGAGATATTCCAGAAGAAGAAGATTCTGTTGTAAGCCCGACAGCAGGGTGAGTAGCATGAGCAGCAACCATTCAACACAGTACGGCGCCATTGTTGTTGTGATACTGTGTCCCACATGCGTGTTTAGAGACGACGCTATGACGCATGCGTGTAAAAAAAAAATGCGGTTAGAGCTTAAAGATGGAAACGCGAAAACGGCGTTTCAAAATCTTCCCACTCTGAAGGCTGAATAAAAAAAAGATTGTTTACAGACCCCCGAAACGCCGGCTTCGTATGGATGAGAGGCTGGTTTGGTAAAAAATCTGTGCGTTTAGGCCAGGGTTCGGATTCGTGTGGATGGGGCCTTAAGCTGCTGACTGCCACTACCTCGATGCCAGAGTGTTTGCCAGGTTTGGGTTAACCTTGTTGTTTTTTGTCTTTGCCTCTCGGCAGGAAGTCATCCTTCAAACTGGATGTTTTGGACCTTCTCCCCCTGGAAGGATCATCTGAGCTTCAAACTGAGCTAGGATTCAAACTGGAGGTTTGGATCTACTTTTCCCCAAAGGATTGTTTTAGCTTCACACTGAGCAGGGGATTAATCTCCACAAGAAACAGTTCAAGTACCATAGAAAATCTAAGTGGCAGTCAGCTCCTCCGTTCCTCAAGGAAACACCTCAACCTGGGTAAACCCTGTCCGCCCCCCAACAAGCAAGTCAATTACTGGAACAACCCACACCGACTGGATTCAGAGAAAGACACCTTTACAAGAAATGTGAGTCCTGTAGCCTTTATTCCCTTTTCTAAATTGAAGCTCAAATTTCCCACTGAGCCTGAACTAACCACAGGAACTTCCCCTTCACTTTTCAGTCCCGGTTCGCCAGTGTTCAGAGCAGCACTGGACCCATCCCAATCAGTTCTCAATAAACCTGTTAAACCTTCCCTTGGTCTCTCTGTTTGGTTTTCTGCATGTGGGTCAGATCTTAGAATAAAATCATGACAATTAGTAAATAAAGCCTTACTCTGTTACTTTACAATGACAATGGAGATACTATACTGTGCGTGTGTGCAATGGGTAAACAAGGAAGTGATGATGCTAAGCCAGTTAGCTCCTCCCAGCGAAGTGGTAAAAATGATAAAGAAAAGTGCACGATCCAATGTGGAAAAGCACAACAAATATTTGATTCAAAGAGGAATAAGACTCGAATAAATATCAGAACACATTATAAATATTGTTTTTTACTGAGAAAGAGCTGAAGCTGTGAATCAGGATCCAAACTACCTTATTAATACCATTAAAGATATACCAGGCCCTGTCTTTGCAGTCTAAGTACAGAAAGAAAGATAGGCAGACAGACTCAAAATGCATGTTTAAGGGCCCTCTTGGGAGCTGAAACGTGTGCTAAAGTGCCTTCTACAAAAGTGAGGACGAGCTTCATGCGCAGTTATTTGTCGCTTTCTACTTCAGCCCTTCAAAAAGTCTGTGAACGCACTATGTCCCGTTTTACTGTGCATTTCAGGGCTTCCGTGTAAAACGTTTGGGCTTTGAATCAGTATTGTGTAATTCCAAGGCAACAGGTTAAATCTGATGAGTTAAATGTACACTAAATGTAAAAGAGAAGAATTCATGGCAACAGGATTTGATTCAACTGTTAAATTTGTCTTTTTTGGTCAAAACTGATCACATTAACACTATAAGTAACAAGCTGGTTAAAGAAAACTACATTGAAATCTAAGATTATAGCAGAAAAACACTCCTTTTATATCACTTCAATGAGCTGTAACTGGAAGTGTTGGTTTTCAAGGTGTTTGCAGTTTGCATAACTGAATAGTTTACATTTTATTTAGTTTAACACATGAAAAGTAGGGATTAAAGGGCGGCTTTATGAGCCAGGATTCTTGCCTCCTTGATCTCATCCCACTCTGAGTGATGTGGAGTGGACTACAGCCAAAGGAGCTGCAGTATGCTCCTGGCTCAGGTTAAATTAATGTAGCTGCACTTTCCCGCTCTGATCCACACAATCTTTTTTTTTTTTTTTTTTCTCCTTCCTACCACCAGTGAATTCCATCCAAGAGTCAGGTTTAATTTTACCTCGAGGCACGAAAAACAGCAGCAGGTCAGAAATTCTTCCATTTATGTGTGTGTCTATGTTGGAGGGAGGTACTCACGACTTCTGAGGTGCAGTCGCTGGTTTTGCAGCAGGCTTGTTAGCTGGCACAGTGCATCTCTCTGCAACACAACAGGGGACAAGACAGAGGACATTCAATCATCCTTGACACGGCTTTGCTTGTGTCAAGGTTTGCCTGAGTCTGTTTGATATGTGTTGACCAGAAGCCACAGTAACATCACTGGAGTCTTGTAGCATCGTTACCCTGGAAAACGACTCTGCTCTTTTGTTTATTACCGGCTGTCTTTGTGTGTTTGCCTTTCTTCAGGATGAGCAACGCATTCATGTTTTGTAATAAACCTGAAAGGATGAGTTTTTCATCAAATAGCTCCAACTACTTCCTCAAAAATGACGTGACATTTGGGATCAGCAGTTTTTCTTCTTTTCTTTTTTTTTTTTCCTCGCGCAAAGCAAAGAAACAGGCGTGCAGGAAATATTTAGATTTACAGATGCCCCGCATACTTCTCAGAACATCCAGGCCTGGCCTTAATAAAATTCCACAGCCTCTGGAAAGCGCTTGAGGAAGCCTTATTTAGATTGTGCAGGTGTAGGCCTCGGGATCCTTCCGTATCTCACTGAAAGCGGTGGATATTGAAATTAAGATGATGTATGTACACCTTATGTCTCCCTGCCCTCCTGCATCACAATTACCACCACTTTTCACACTATCAGCTTGTAGCAAACAGCAACGGCGTTTGCAAATCCGTTACAAATTCCTCTGGCTGTATTTAACATAATCATACATAAATACGGCAGATCTTACCTTCAATGCACACATAGTTCCTGATCTAAAGAAATAAATTGACAACCTCATTTAGTGGAGAACAATTTTAGAAAAAAATATTCCTATTTTTGACAAGCTTTACTTGCAGATCTTTGTGAATTTGTCTGTATTTTGGAATTTTACCAGCTGTATTGTTCCTATACCTTATCATCTACTTATCCAAAAGTACTGGAATGCATTTAAAGTCGTAGGGGAGCAGCTGTTCCAAACACTGCATTTCCAAATTCTCCCGAGTGGTGCCCGACTTTACACGAGTGAATAAAGTGAACGTGATTGGTCATTTATCAAGGGGGCGGGACTATTGTGGTGGAAGTTTGGTTGTGGCCGGTTTGTTGGAAGCATCTTGCTAACTAGTTAGCAACTTAGTGCTAGTAGGTTCCCAGTGGGAAATTCCATTGGGACCAAGTAGCACTAAATTGGTGACTTAGAAACGACACTGTCAAGGAACGCTATGGACAGAGGAAACATGCAAGAGGAGGAGAGTTTAGTGTCGGAGGTCATGGATGAGTCTCATCCGTCTTCTGCACACGGAGCGCTCACAAAGCTCAGAGTATTAAGTTAAAAGTTCTCTTTTCTGTTGCCGTTGTTCTATAAAAGTACCTTTTAAGATAATTTATGGCGAGAACATACTTTTAAGCATCACTATATGTCCCATTTACTGATTTAATGCGTAACTTAAAAGAAATGTCCAAAGTTGAGAGGACCGCGGCAACCAGCGGACCTCCAATGCTAACCGTAGCCAGGGCTAACGTTAGCCCGTCTGCAGCAGCCCTCTCTCTGCGTCTGGTGATGTCATCAGTACGCTTTTGTTCCAATTGACCCATATCTATGCTGCGTGCTCCCGTTATCCACACTTTCCTGTGTTCTTCTCAAGAACATACTTGGCGAGGAAACAAGTCCATAGTCGTGTTCTTTTGAATTGAGAAACAGCTAACAGTTCCCTCTCCAACTATACACCCGTAACGATCACCACTACTCTGTGAAGAATCTTATTTCAACCATTGCGTATATTAGGTTTGACATATGAATCGAGATCCTATTACTGAAAAAATTTGATGACAGATGACCGTTGATATATGATTGGCCGAATTTAGGTATACAATTAACTGGCCTGCATAAGATAACAAAAAAAAACCCCCACAGATTTTAGGACAGGTTTTTAAAAAAATACAAATTTTCCAATGTTGGGACAATATAGTCTCATAAAGAGTACATTTATATACATGTTTAAGCCAGAATGATTTGACATTTAAATATGATTTCCCTAAGACTTTAAGTACAAACTTTATTTTCATAAAGTCATGATGTTCATTGTTTGACCCTTTGTAATAACAAAATGTCACTAACGTTGAGGGTGGAGCGTTCAAAATGATTTTAAATCCACTTCTCCATAAGAGCCTTTATGCTATTTTAAAGGACACAGCAAATGCTTTAATCCATTAAGCTTTTAAACCAGAAAAAATTGAAGAGACTTTTTGTATGGACTCTTACACCTTCCTCTTCTCCCCATTTATTAGCTGTTCCTTTACCTTGTACTTATTTTCACTAGACTGAAGTGTTGCAAAGGTATTAGATATAATAATACTGTAATAATTGTTAATTTTTTAATTTGTAATCATTTTTTTAACATTTTAAGAAACAGAGACAATTTTTTATGGTGGGTGATTAATAACTCTGCAGACAGCCATAGTCTGAATTACTAAATTGGTGAAAGACAACCAGAAATCCAACCTTGGGTAAAAGATTAAAGAACCTTGGTGAATAAGCAGATATCAGTTATAATCATTTAACTAATCATTACTTGGTTTTACCCTTGATTTTAATGACCTATTAATTACCCAAACGTTCAGATCTAGTTATTTCATATATTCATAATATTCTGTTAAATTGCACAACATGGCTTTCTAAAAGCTCTGTGGTACTGCCAGGAGATTGCAACATGTCTGCTCACGGTGCCTGGTGCTGGAATTCTATTTAGGCTTATGTGTAAAAGGTTGCGAGTGGCTTACAGAACAGTGTCAGCCAGAGGTACGGCATTAAACGTGCAGCAATAATACATTTTATAATTATGATCAACATTAAACTTTATAAGTCCACACATAACCAATTATCAGAAGAATTGTATAAACAAAAAGAAGGCGATAATTATAACTATTTGCAGATCACAATCATGTGCTTGAATTCCTGCTGAAACTGTTTTCTCACACATCTCCTGACTGCTGTTAGTTAATTATAACCCAAACCTGGATGTGAGTGTTTGTTTTCTGGGAAACTTACTCTGCGTGTTGTAGCCTGAGGTCACATGCTGGGTCTCCTGGTGAATGAAAAAAAAGACAGGAATTAATTAGACTAATAATAACAACAATAATAAAGGTATTGTAAGTCATTTTTTTGTTTCATTTTCTTGATCTCCCTCCATGTTGTTCTTTAAAACTCCTTGAGAGTATTGCTGCCTGGCTGTTTTTTACCAGCCACCGTCACTGAGACATTTAGCAGATTGAAAGTGTTTTATAAAAGGAAAGCGTAGTCATAGTCATAGCTTAAGTGTCATGAATGGTCTCGTTCAGAATGTTGATGCAGACTCTGGGAAAAAATTATCTGTAACATCCACCAAGCTTCTTCAGGTTGTACAAGCAAAATAAAATTAAGGGACTGATTTTAATATATCGTTCTCTTAGTTCTTTGGAACATTTTAATGTAAAATATATATTTCAAATGAATTAGGACTAGAATTTAGATTAATGAATTGAAGGCTGCTGACATGTCGATGGTGTGACTGCGGTTACACCAAATGCGTTTTTAGTGTCGTATGGGCGTCTAACACTTGGACATTAAAGTCAGACTGCTGTCAAGCAAAGAACAGATCCCTCTAGTGTGATGAGTGGGATAAAAAGTAGTTTTACACTGCAGTTAAAGATAAGACTTAAATGATCACTAGTAAACAAAGTGTCATCAGTGCAGTCATACGTTTAAATATTCTGCTTTTCTGAGCAGCAGAGCTCTGCACACAGGTGGGCTGGAGCTCTGGAAATCCCTGGTGACAGCTTCCTTAAACTGTCCTATTGCTTGGGGATTTCCCGCTATCAGTTGTAGCAACTTGAAGTGATTATAAAGTGTTTTAGATCTTAAAAATTACCAGGAACCAGAACACAGAATTGAATATTTTTCACCAACAAGTTTTTACATTTTAAGTTAATGACGAACTGTTTTGCCACAATTAGTAAGAAAAAAATTCAGTGGAGTACTCAGAAAACTCTCACTTTATTTAAACGTTAATAAAAAAAACTTCTACTGGCCTTTTTAAGTGAAATGCAACCCTATTATGTACCCTTATTCATTTTTAAAAGTTTTATGCTGACGCCTCTGAAGGAGGAGTGATGCAGTTGGATGCTGTATCTGCCTGTCAACTAAGGCCCAGATATAAAAACACTTTAGAAAACCAGGATGTTATTAAAGGTATGCTAATGTGTCTGGATATTCCTTTCAAAGTTCATAATTTTACACATTTAAGATATATAAACTTGACAGGTCTTAGCTGATAAATGTTTATTGGCCACTAGGTGGCCCCAGTGAGCATTTGGAGCTTATGGGAGACTTTCAATTAACCATTTTACAAAACGTGCTTCATACTGTATATAATCCTTTTTTTAACTGAATCAAATAAAGGAACTTCCAAGCCATTAAGTCTCTCTATAAAATATCTGTAACGATCTTGGTTCTGTTGCTTTTCTCTAAGTTTTCAGTTTCATGTTTAGCCAGGTTTTTCCTTGTTTTCTAGCTTTATTGGTGGGTCTGGATTCATTTAAGTTGCTTACGTTTTTTTCTGTCTGTCCTCTGTTGCCCTCTTGTGTTCTTTTCCCTTGGCTTCCTTATCAGCTCATTAGTCCTACCTTTGTTCAGTCAGTCATAAATACACTCCCTCTGCAGTCCCTCTTTGCTGATTCCTCGTCTTACCTCTTCTCACCCTGGCTCCTTGATGGTTTTCCCCTGATGTCTCCATGGTTCTGGTTTGTTTTTGATTTTTATGTCGGATTTTTTGGATACCTGTTTTTGTTTAACATTTCTAAGTTGGATTTTTGGATTCCTGTTTTTGCTGCCTGATCTCCATTAAACCTTTTAAGAACTCACCCCTGCCTTTCAGCCTCTGCATTTGGGTCCTCATAAAAACCTCCAAACAAATCGTGACAATATCATTCATTTTGTAGGAAAATGCTGCTGTGCCTGGTTCTTTACCTTCAAAGAACTGGTCCTGAAAAGTCCCTCAAAAGTCCTTGAATTTCAACCAAGAAACAAGACGTAGAAACCCTGAAGTCATAGTGACTCACTGATTATTAGAGTGGCCAGAAGGACACAAACAACCAAATAAATGTGGCTTTTCATCTCAGGTTTAAGCAACTATTCCTTCTTCATACTAATTAGAGTTTGAGCTTCTCTGATTGGTCGATGCACTGCATCGAGCTGCTAAAGATTGGATTTTTCAACTCCAGCATTTGAAATGTTAACACTTTTTATGCTTGAAAGCTCACCATGGGCCATGTGCAATACTCTAAATGCTTCAAGACACCTCGCATAACCTCTCCAAACTCTTTAGCTGAATGCAGCATAAGTACATACACCGTGTTAGTATCTTTATGATAAAATTAAAAGGTTTATTACGCAAGTGGAATAAAAAAAGCAGCATCTTGTTTGCATTCACACTAAGGGAGGATGCAATTTGCTGTGATATGGGAAATGTTCTAAAGGTTGATGGTGACTGAGACTAAATAGGGAAACCTTATTCATTGCTAAGCAACCTTTATTTTTTTAAATTGCTGTTTATGTTATAAACTAGTCCTCATTGCCAGGTTATGATGCACCTTGAGAGTAAGGTAAAAATAGATTAGTTTACAAGAAGCAGTAACAGCTGAAAAAGCAGCGGCAATGATCCACAACAACCTGCTGTTTTAACAGCCAAGAACAATGCATTTCAAACTTATGACATGTGCAAGTTCATGAAAGAGTCACTCAACACCCGTAGCTCTAAGAAATCATTTGCAAAAAAGAGATATACATAATAAGACTGCATAAGATAAACTAGGTGAATCTAAGGACTTTCTTTTTTTCCAAGGCTAAGAGTTTTTCTAGTCATTTAACATCTTTTCTTACGACTCCCTAGCTCTCACGTAAGAAAAGCCAACAAACGTGGAAAGGATGTTTATGTTAGTGTACATCACAGCGAAAAAGAGCTTTTAGGGCAGTGGGGTAACATTTTTACTCACCTTGTTTGGGATGGGAAACTTGGTCTGATCAGCTTTCCCAGGAGTATGGATGGCTGTGAGTGGAGGAGGCCAGGAATGGGTCATCTCCTGAACACACACACACACACACACACATCTTAATTACATTAAAAAGAAGGAATAATTGGCAGCCACAGAATATAATTGATCATTATATTTGGATAAATGGAGGGAATTGTCAGGGTTCTGCCCTGTTTAAGTTTATTTTTAGTTTCTTTGTATTTGTTGTTGTTTTCTTGCAGTGTTTTGTTCTTGAGTTACTCTCTGTCCCCCCCTTGTGTTTGTTTCCTTTCCCCTTGGCTTCCTTCTAGATCCTTCCATCCACACCTGTTCCTTGTCAGCTCATTATACCTGTCTTTGTTCTGTCTCCCATATATACTCTCCGTGTGCAGTTCCTCAGTGCTGGTTCCTTGTCACTTCCTGGTTCCTCATTTATGTTTTTTCCCTGACTTCTCCAAGATTGTGGGGTTTTTTCTGGATTTGTTATTTTGGATTTTTGGATTTCTGCCTCAGTTGCCTGTGAGTCATTCATTAAATCAGCAAAAATTATCTCTGCCTACTAATCTCTGTATTTGGGTCCTCAAAGCCTCCACTCAACCTGACAGAAATAACTGAGAGAAAATGTAAGTTAGATCTTGGAGTGGATGCATCCAGTGAGCGATGATAATGGTTCAACTTTAGCAAATATGGGCCAGAGAATTGCTTCTGAAACCTCTTTGGAGCAGAGGAGTGGAGTCAGCATTCAATCAAGGCTGTGCTGCCCCTTCCCCTTTAGAGCAGACTTTATTATTACTTATAGTATAAGTGCAGGGTTGCATGGGGAGGTTGTAGCACACCAGGGATTGGTGTAGTAAGAGTCAGTTAAGTGCAGAGTTGTGAAATTACAAAAACAAAAGCCTGACTTAATCTAGCTGCAGAGAAAGAACTCAGTAGAGCTGGAGAGTCATCTTTTAATTAATCCAACTGTACAGTAAAGATTCAACGAAATATTTTCAAGTATTTTACTGGAATTTGACAAGATAGACCAACATCAAGTAGTGCAAAATCAGGAAGCAGAAATGATTTTATTCAGCCACCTTACTAGATTTCTCTATCAGCTTAGAACATCTGGAAAACTTATTTCATATTCTCATTTTTAAACTAACTTGAGTTTAAATCACCAAAACATACAAATTTTGTTTTTGCAGAAAAAAATGGATAAATAAGGTCTATGAGGAGCTATTCTGGGTCAGTGTTCAGGCTGGGTTGTTCTTTGGTAGAAAAGAAAATGAAAAACATGAAATTACATCAGTACTTGTATGTATATATGTATGTATGTATGTGTGTACTATGTATGTATATATATGTATGTGTGTGTGTGTGGGTGTACCTGTCTAGCCCTTAGAGCGGGGACAATTTTTTTCAATTTCACCATCAAATTGAGGACCAGTTGTTGCAAAGTGAGGACATTTTGCCGGTCCTCACATGCTATTTTGCTAAAGGTTAGGTTTAGGGCTGAGTGTCAATTGGTTAGGGTTAGGGGGAGGTACTGTATGCATTGGTAATGGTTAGGCGTAGGGTTATTTTTAGGGTTAGGGCATAGAAAGGATGGAAAATGACTGAAAATCAATGGAAGTCATTAGGAGTCAACACATGGTCCTCATTAGGATGGCAGAACGAGTATGGGTGTGTTTGTATGTGTGTGTGTAGTCAGAGATGAGAAGTTTTGTTTTTTTTCTCCAGTGGTTACAACCCTCAAAATGACAAAAAAACATTAACAAGAGCAAACAGAAACTGCAGGCGATAAGAAAACAAGCAATGAGCGCAGAGAAGGAGCTGTGAGTCATGCGTGTGACGTATTGGGGCCTCGTGGTGCCGAATCTGGAACCGTTAAATGTTCACAATGTTCCTCAAGAGTATTTTTATGTGCGTGTGTTTTAAATAAAACACAGAGAAAGCAGCCACTTTAACTGCGCTGCGCCTGCACTGTAAACCAATACCCACTTTTTCCACTCAGGCATTTTAACGCTACGATCCAGATTTAAACTCGACATGAAGTGACTTTTTAAGCAGCTAATTTGCACAGACAAGCAACGTTTCTTTTTCAGCTAATGTCTAAAACAAGAAAATTTGTTGGGGCTTGAAAGAAATTTGTTCCGCCCTGAGGAGTGGCGGCGTCATCAAAATAGGGAGAGGCAGCTTCACTTTAAAGGTGTCTTTAAAGGAGAAAACAACTGTATTTCATAACAAAATAAATACCCAGATAGATCTAAATATGTATCTTTGTTATATATTTGCCTATAGGTGACTTTGGAAAACATAAAAAAGGTGGTAACGGTCTTCTAAAATAATTTACCAAAAGTTTCACGGTTTTGTTGAATACAATTGGGAGTCAAAATCCATGCAGACAGCAGGAGAATATCAAAATACACCAGAAATCTCTGAGATTTGGACCCAGAACCTTGTTGTTGTTGGACAGCAGTGCTCACCACCCCCCGATACGCCCACAACTGTCATTTCTTTCTATGAAAATCAATCATTTTTAATGGTAACACTGATGTACACTCTACTTCCTGACACCCAAAAAAGTCCCATCATACATCTGTTCTCCTCTCTGGAGGGGATGACTCATATCCATCTGATGACGCATCTTTGGGTTTGTGTGAGGAAGATGTGTGTGAGAGTAGCTCACAGTTCATGAATAAACCCAACATTTCAGAAAATCCTCAAGTAGGCCTCTGCAGATGTATGCATCTGTCTTTTCCCTTTCCCCAAAACTCTTACGCTACCCTGACGAAATACACTGTGTTGCTTGGCAACTGCTGCACTCTCTGACATCACTGTGTCCTTCATTGAACACTTCCTGAGTTTTGAGAGACAAGGCCACTGATTTCGCCTAAACACTGTGAGAGAAAGTGTGTAAATGCCACAAACTACCAAATACCAATGTGTCCATAGTTTGATAGCAATCGATGATCTTTTGCTTCCTCTCTGTTAAGAGTTTATATATAATTATACAAATCATATCATGTACATTTACCCAGAAAATCCTTATAGAGTCATGTATATTTGTTTTGAGTCCTTCTTGTGGCTCTAGGTTTTTTTGTGTGGATACTTTCACCACTTGAACATCTGGAGACATAAATGACTGCAAATGTCCTTTCTTTTTTCTCTCTAATGGTTCTTCATGTTGTAGGTTTGTCTTTTTTTTCTGAGGGTGTTTTATGCTCTAATTGTCTCATCTTATAGATGTAGTTACTTCTATCAGTGTTATTAATTTCTGTTTGGGCATGCCATCCAAGCTGGGGTTTCATTATGGTTCCATAATGACAATAAAGATTGTTGAAATGAGTCTTTGTAAAATAGCTCAAGCTTAGCTGGACTGAATGGAAAGCATCTTTAAACATCCATTTTTTAAAAGTATTATCAAGTGGGAATGCTTATGCATTCCCACTTATTGTTTTTCACTTGTAATTTTTCTGACTCTAACTAGTCCCGCAGTTTTCAACTGATTTCAACAATTTTGGTATCAAAACGTTCAGCTTGTTCAGGAGAATTCTGCTATGTCTTTTGGTAAAGATATTTTTTGTAGTTTTCGCGATATTCAGCTTTTTCTGCGTTTTTTTTTGTCCCATTGAAATGCATGTAGAATTCTTAGATTTCAGCAAAATTCAGCTAAGACTTCATCATCTTTGACCTTTAACTACTTCAGCATACTTGCAGCTAGAAACACCATTCAACTTTTAAAATGTTTCTGTATCTTTCTGCTATTACTGTTTAACTCGGCTTTCTGCTAACTTTTACAGTTTTGCTTCAGTGAAGCTTCAAACTTTAAAAGAAAATTTTAAGATTTTCAGATTTATAATCAAGTGGGAATGCTTATGCATTCCCACTTATTGTTTTTCACTTTTAATTTTTCTGACTCTAACTAGTCCCGCAGTTTTCAACTGATTTCAACAATTTTGGTATCAAAACGTTCAGCTTGTTCAGGAGAATTTTGCTATGTCTTTTGGTAAAGATATTTTTTGTAGTTTTCGCCATATTCAGCTTTTTCTGCGTTTTTTTTGTCCCATTGAAATGCATGTAGAATTCTTAGATTTCAGCAAAATTCAGCTAAACCTTCAGCATCTTTGACCTTTAACTACTTCAGCATACTTTCAGCTAGAAACACCATTCAACTTTTAAAATGTTTCCGTATATTTCTGCTATTACTGTTTAACTCGGCTTTCTGCTAACTTTTACAGTTTTGCTTCAGTGAAGCTTCAAACTTTAAAAGAAAATTTAAAGATTTTCAAATTTATAATGGAAGTCTATGGACGGAATGTTCAGCTGCTAGAGTGTGCCACTCTAGCGTTTTCAAACATTTCACTCATGCCGAACAGCTTCAACTCACTCGCTAATTTTTTACCCTATCTAGATAAATTTTACATCAAAACGTAGGGATTTTTGTCAGGATTCAGGAAATGTAACCCTCATCTGTGTGGCATTTACGGTTTTCCGACAGTTTGGCCCAGACCACGAAGAAGTCCACACTTCTCCAATAGAAATCCAATGAGAGCTCTCTGAAAATCCGAACTGAAAATAAAAAAAAACAGACTTTTTCGTATCGCTCCCATTCGGGAACCGTTTGACGTAGCAACACGAGCCTTGTGGAAGTTGTTCCTCAGACCTTCCTAGCACTCACATTGAAGGAAGTGTGTCGATATCTTTTATCGTTTAGCTAGGAAAAAGGTTTGTTCGGGGGTAACAAATCTGTCCGAACCCCAAAATCAAGATTTTGACAATTATACACTTTTTTACATCGTCACCACGCCTAGACGAAATATTGTAGAAATATGAAAGTTACACCAGTTGTAGTCCAAAGATGGCTGACGCTCACGGTGAAAGAATTTTTTGAATACCTATTACGGTTTTGGCTCACCGCTCGTTTGTTCGGAGGGAAAGTTTTGCTTTTGAGAGCTCTGCTCTACCATGTGACTCCATGTTATTTAATGAGACCAGCAGGATTTATAAACCTTTATATTTCTCCTTCCCATTAAGGCTGTGAATGAGCTACATCCATGAACGTGACCCCAATTGGAGACAAAGGA